AGAGAGAGAGAGAGAGAGAGAGAGAGAGAGAGAGAGAGAGAGAGAGAGAGAAAGAGAGACTACAGATAAGACCAAGGCATACAGCTCAGGCCTCCGTCAGTGTTCACGTTCGTGTCGTGAACAGAGAACGAAGACAAGGTGGGAGTGTTAGGTATGTCAACGTTCTTACAGGTGGGACGGTGCATAGTTGCGGCCGTGATATCTCGACCGATACCTAAAAATATACAACGCAAGTAATAGTAGACTGGTGCCAGAAAATTCACCGGGCCTCAGTAAATGGGTCGGACACACACAAATTGCATCTTATCGCCCCGTTTTTTGGCCATGTGGCTTTTTCGTCGCACTGATTGTTCAGTACCATGCATGACCGAATAACTCCCGCTGGGGGTATGGATGGCAGGGGGCGACGGCTTACTTGCTCATCTGTCCGCTCAGCACTTCAAGAACTGATGTGTTATGAGCACTACAAAACTTGTGGGTCTATGGATTGCAGCAGGACGGAACCTTCTCAAATACTTTGGGGAGGTATCGACAGTGAAACGCAGTGTGCTCCTTCTTTACATGGTCGCTGAAACGAAACATTTCTAAATGAAGTGAAGAGACTATACATCAGTCACTTATGCCTCGGTGTCAACAACAGCACGACTGAATATACAAGATACAAGAGGGTATCAACGGACGAGGTCACACAACCACCCACAAACAACCCACAAGACGAAAACGGTAAGGCTACCAACACTCATAGGGCAAAAGACTTGCTTCAGAGATAGGGCAACCATGTCCCCACCTCACCTGACAGACACCACATTCACCAGGTATTCTCGAGCATTCTTCGAGACGAATTCGACATGGACCGATTGCAAACCTAATCTTATGTACTTCGTATGCAACTGAAGAAGGAACCCTTCGGTCACGGACGAGGCGGGGTGAAAAATTCCCGTGTGCCTCCAAGGCACTACGTTAACCTGTACATGCGCTTTTCGAAAATCGCGGCGTGTGTGAAAGCATAGTGCACACGTGGGCAGCAGCCGCACTCACAAAAACTCATTCTTCTGCCTCTTTTTCCTAGTACACACAGTGAAAGAAAGAAAAAAGAAAAGCCGAGGAATGAATAGTAGACTCCATTCGGTCAGCGCCGTCCCCCGCAAGGAAAGAATAAACACAGCAAAGAACGTAATCTTTGCCATCGCGAGGGGAGACCTAGCATCTACCAGACATAGAAAAACATGTTCCAGAGGGAACAACATCCGTCGCTGGCGCATCCAACACCTCACTTGTTTCTGGTGCGCGCCGCGCGTGTGAACACGAGCTCTTACAATCACATGTTAAAGCAAAGTACGAGGACAATATCGTCGTTTCTCCTTGTATTTCATTTACATCAACCATAACCTAGGTCACCTGCAACCCTGCCTTCTCCCATGATCAGTTCGAAGAGGAACTTCTACTTCAACAGAGCCATACATTCTACAGCGAACGCAGAAGTGAAGGTTTGGTCACCTGTAGGAAGCAGTCTTGTCTCTCTGCCTCTGTCGTTGCCCCCCGCTCTCTGTTCGTATCTCCTTCAATAATCCTCTTGTACCTCTCTCACGGTATATCTCCCACCCCCTTACTTCTCCCCTTGACACAGCCAGCCGCGCACATCACAACGACAACAAAACACGTGTTTTGTCCTAGTTCCGGCAAGAAAGCACGAAAACATCACGGCTGACGCATGAAACGTCGCCCCCCCCAAAAAAAAAGCCACCAAAAAACAACCAAAACCGCGGGATCGAGCCAACAGGCTGATCGAAAAAAAGTGACAAAACCAAAACAGCCACCCAACCGGAAGGAGCCGCGCCAATTCACCAGTCTACCACACCCTCTTCCCCCATCGGGCCGCCTCGGCTCCCCCTAGCGCCCCCTCTGGAGGAGGCGTTTTCAAGCACTCCCGCCTCGCCGACCGGGAAGTAGCGCACGTCCGGGACACCTTCTGGTCCCCCCCGCTGCAGCCTGTGGACGTAGGACTCCTGGCCCGTGTGCTCTAATTCGGGCTTGAAGTTGAGGTACGCCCGCACTAGGACGTAGTTCCACCTTTTTTTCGCCGGCGAAAATACACGCGTCGGTCGGTCTTTTTGGTGACAACTTGTTCGGGTCGTGGCTAGCGGTGATTGAGCGGGAGAAAGGGAAAGAGTGAGACGGGCGTGGCGGCGGTGACGGCCGGGCGGCCAATGCCGTTGTTTCTTTACGAAACCTTTAGGAATGTATTACATAGCCGAGTGCGTATAGGAACGTGGAATTCAGCTGAGTAACCCTCCGCATGAAACAACCCTGCCGACAGGCATGCGACGAGACCGAATACTATTTGACCCCGACATTCCTCCACTCAGTATTTTCCCATTTCTCTCCTCCGCAGCTTCTCAAACATGTGGCGTTTAGTCCTGCCTTGAGTTATGTTGAGTGCGCCTCCTCCACATCCCCCTCCCGCCCATGACATTTTCTCCACTTTTCTTTGCGCGTCACGCGCATGCAGTGATCGAATTAGTGGCACTTGAACCTACCTTGCGTGTGTTAAGTGCGCCTCCACACACACACCCCGCCCCCATTACAGTCTCTCAAGTTTTTCTGTGCGCGTCACTCACATTCAGTGACCGAAGTGTGGCGCTTGTTCCTGCCTTGCGTATGTTGAGTGCATCTCTTCCACCCCCCCCGCCAACACGATATCTACTTCTGTGTTGCGCGTCATCACTCACATGCAATGATCGTGCGTGACGTGGTCGTAGAAGACGTTACCCCCCCGGTCGAACTCGTTCCGAGAGATGCCGCACACCACGCATCGGCTCTTGAGCTCGTCCGTAAGCGCCGCTTCCTCGTCTCTCAGCTGCGCGAAACTGGCGATGAGTCACATCATCACCGACATGACGGGCAGGAGAGAGGTATTTGAGAAAAAAATATTCTGCACACGCATATGGTGGTTTGCGCATATCTGAATCACGATCGAATGCTTCATGTGTACTTTGGCTGAAAGGTTGCTCATCCTTCATCGGATGGCGAAAACACTGCTCATGGTGAGAGAAGACACGGAGGGTTGCTACATGAGAATGTTTCGTCTGTGGAGCATTTATCGCTTTGGGGGTTACGCCGCAATAACGTTCAACGGGATACACGCCACAAACAATCTAAAACAATAGGGTGATCGCCTGCCCATCCAAGGGCACAAGGAGGGGAAGTAGGCACGTGTACTCGTGGAGTGACGCACACCGCAGCCGTTAACTCTTGGGTCTCATACGTAGCACCCCGACAAGGCCGGATCGATGGGTATTCGCCGACAGAGGTCTCCTAACGCGAGCCGCCGTCATGTTCTCGCTTCTAGTAACCATGAACAGCTTTGCGAACCCATGAACTGCTTTGTGAACTGGAAAGTCGTCAACTTGCGCGTGATCTCGTGCACGTGCATGCAAGGAGGGTGGGGGGCAAGTGGTACTCGATTCCTGGTAGTAGTGGTGTTTAGGAGGGTATGGTGGGTACACACTAAACTAGAACCCCACCCAGCAGTAGCACAAACCCTTTCGAGGCAGAGGCAGGAAGTAACACTGCTCGGTAGCTTGTCTGCCGCCATGGAACGATTCGATCCCAGCAGCAAGCCAAAGGGCCGCTGCAACAGCTTTGCGTTGCAATGACAGGAGGAACGTGAAACAGGTACCAACACTTCGGAACATGGCGGGAGAGAAAAGGAGCGCACACTTTCCGTCGAATTTCTGGGCGGGGTGTACAAACCGACTCCACCACAATGCAACCAAACGAATACTGGAAGGATCGCGCGGGCTGGCTGACTGAAACAACACCCTGGGGATCGCCTCCCGTTCGTGTTAACGAAACAAAGCATGCCTCTCTGTTTTGAATTCCGGTCCCTGCCGAAAATCCGAAATCTCCGAAGCAATCCGAAGTAAATCTCAGCTTACAAACCAAAGTGCAAGTCGTAGCTGTGCTTCTCTCTCTCTGTCTCTCTCTGTCTCTCTCTCTCTCTCTCTCTCTCTCTCTCTCTCTCTCTCTCTCTCTCTCTCTCTCACACACACACACACACACATACACCAACAGACGAAATGCGAACTACCTTTCAGTTGTCTAGTTTTTAGATCCAACTGCAATATCTCTCGCGGAAGCGCACGCAGATTGGAACCAGAAATAGGGAGAGATCAATAGTTTACCTGTCCAAGATGACGCCGGAGACCATGTTCAGCAGCAGCAGAGGCACCAATACCCAGTACGCCACATCGTACAAGAAGCGCCGGACGCGATGCTGTGTTTGACCAGGCCAGCAAAAGTCATTTGGGTGTTGGCATCAATCCAGGAAGGATTGCAGGGCACATAGTGTGCAGATTATCGGTGAGGGAGTGGAAAGGGGCGTGTATTCATAGCCGTGCATGCCGTCGTCATGAGACCAGTGACCTCGCATCCCCACAAAGCCGTAGCGGGGGGCAGGCGCTCATGCGGAGTGTCTCCGAACGCCTACCTGAGCTTGGTTGAGTTTCGTGCGCAGCAGAAGATACGGGCGGGGAGAGCTACTCATAGACTACTCATAGACAAGGCACGGGAAGAAAAGACACGAAGGTCAATTCATCATTCAGGGAAAGGGTGACAAACGGCGACCGCGCTTGCCAGATGTTTATTTTTCACGACGTGCTTCCTGGAGAAAGCAAAAAACAACACGAGACCAGAGCGCACATAACGAATTTTGGCGTGCGTAGATACCGTGTGCGAAGCGGTCGGATTATCAAGCAGCGGGCACCGTCAAGTTTTCACGTGACCGCAACAAACAAACTCTTTGTTGAGACGAGGACGAGAGCGTGGTGCGGGTCGTCCCTGTCCGAGCGTGTCGGCAAAGACGGTGAACACCCCGACGCATGTCGCATTTCGCCGGACGCCGAGACCGTAGGCGAAGTGGTGTGGTTGTCAACCAGAGGGCAAGGATGAAGTTTTCACGCGACCAAAGCAGCAAGACCACGCCTACAGACAGCGTGATGCACTTCGTTCCTGTCCGATCGTGTTGGGGCAACACGGTGAACACCCCGAAAAGGCGTCACGGAGGGCTTCTCGGCGAACGAACACTTCAAGGTACAACCCGATCCCAATGTTCTTACCCCGGGTTCGTCTTGGTCAGTCATGAGTAAAAGGTAAGTCCCCAGGTCTCCTCGCAGGGCGTACTGGAACAGCGTGATGGAACACTGGCAGGTGCCAAAAAAAAGTCACGGCACAACAAGAGCAACGGGTGTATCAAAACACCAAACAGCAAAAAAGGAAACGAACAAGGAAGACTCGGCAGCTTCGGCAGCGAATCGGCAGCGAATCGGCAGCGAATCGAAACCACGCTATGCAGCAATGCGTGGCGGAGGAGGACGAGGCAATGAACCCACACACACTCACACACACCAGGGCAAAAAGCTCCTGCAGCGATCTTGTCCCATAATCAGAGCAAAGCCATTTAAACAAAAGAGGATTGAACCGTGGAAGACACTGCATCGAATCGTAGATGGAAGGGGCGTTCTTCTGCGGGGACAGAATGAGGGTCAATCAAGGTCGGGTAGTACTGATCTGCACCTATCGCGGATATCCGTTGGCATTGGCCCTCGCATCTCTTTACACTGCAGAGCTTGGGTGTACCACGTCGGGGATTCTGCCGCCGAATAGGCGGGGGAACGGGTCGTGCACCGACCGCAACGGCACAGCTTGTGATGTGTTCATGCTGCTTGCTCGGCAAAGTCGCCTGCCTGTAGGAGGCCCTGTACTCCACCAATGCCCCTTTTGCGAAGCGGGCGGCCTTCGGCGCAGGAGCAGGACAGGGGCAGGCAAACAAGCATGCGCTCACGCATGTGCACACGTGCAGCAACACGCAACCACACGACCAACAGTTGGGGGGCCCGCATTGAAGAACCTCTTATTTTGGTCGAGGATCGGTTTCTTCCTAAGGGGTATCCCCATGCCCACGATGTCAGTTGTAGTGTAGTGTACGCTTTTTCACTTGAGCACCGGTTCTTAAGGTCGAGTCCTTGTATATTGGAAATTCCGGAGGCTGAAGTTCTTGGGTACCAGGTTCTTGCGTGCGGGCCGGGTCTGCAAAACAAAACGGTCGAGAACGCGAAGCACACCTCGCCAAGAGTGCTACACCCGCTGAAGCCTTCCGCACTGTCGTCGTCCCCCACCGCCTCGACAGCACTCGCTAGAGCGAAGTCTTCCTCGAACCAGGCCGTCCCCACGGCCGCGAAGATGAACAGCACCACCACCACCAGCATCGCCGTCTGCCAAAGCATCGCCGAGTTTTGGGACACCGCTCGCAGAACCCTGGGTACACAAGCAAGACACCAGGGGAAGAGGCGTGAGTGAGCGACGGGAGGAGAGGGGTGGGGATGGGGGACAGGGAAGGGATCGCGACGCGGGGGGGGGGGGGGGGCTACACCNATGGCGCGGTAAACCAAGAACCAGATGCGGCACAACCGAAACGTTCCTCTTCCGAGAAGAGAAAAAAATAATACAAAACAGCATTTTCGCGGGAACGCGCGCGCATGTAGCGAGGTCGGATCCCAAGAAACACAAGGGAAAAACCAGGGAGGAACCTAAACACGCCGCATGCCCACCTGTGCATGGCCCTATAGCGCACGGACACGTCCAGCAGGCAGAAGGCGTAGCAGGCGCTACGCCCCTTGAACTCAAACCTCAGGGACAGGATGAACCCAACAAGGGACACGAGGACGTACAGCACGTTCCACTTCGACGAGCTGAGCATGACCGCCATCCGGGTCAAGCGGTCCACACGGCCCACCTGGCCATGACATTGATGTCATTTGGCGTGTAGTTGCTTTTCATGTTTTCAGGGTGTTGTTGTTCATAATGTCTTTTTGTTGCGTTGTTGCTTTGATTGTTGCCTTGGTTGTCATTGTCGTAAGCGAGCGTGACCCGAACAAAGGGCTTGCGCGATATGAGGGGCACAGAGAACGTTTTCCCCCGCCTACAAATCGTCAAGAAGGGGGTAGAGCAGAAAAGCAGAAGAGCAAAGCTCACTCCCCTCTCGTTTCCTCCCAACGAAGCGCAAGCCGTCGTCGTGCAGAAAGGGTTGTTCCGATGGCAAAGTATAGAAACGATGCGTACTTATATATAATTCATCGTTGCCTCTTGCACTCACCTCCTTCCCGCGACCGCCCACGCCTCGACCCCCGCCCCCGCCACCACCGCCCCCCCACGCGCGCATCTGCGCATCCTCCCTGTCCTCGCTGTCGTTGCCTCTGCTGCTGCTGTCGTACGAAGACATGCTCCCCCCGCCGCTTCCCCACCCTCCTCCTCCCCAGCTGCCGTTGGAGTCGTAGGAGTCCTGGCTGTACTCCTTGGCGAGCCTCAATATCCGGTGGTGTACGCCGCGCCGAAGCCCGGGGGCGTTCGTGCCTTCTCCGCCCCCTGCTAATCCCCTTATATCCGCGAAGCCTCCGCCGCGTTGGCTGAGGGGGGCCGCCACGCCGACCGGGTCGGTCACATCGTGGGACGGAGACGGCGAAAGCACCAGCGGCGTCGCGGCTGAATTCACCCCCGCGGAGCTCGTCGAGATCTGCTGCTTGTCGCCGCGAGCGGCTTGGCCTGAGACGTGCGGCCGGCAGGAGGGGAGAGGAACGGGGAGAAGGTAACTGTTGTTGCAACAGCAGACATAATTTACTCTTACGTTCTTTCGTACAACTAGGAGAGGATGGCTTAGATCACCCCCTCAGGAAAAACATCTAGGAGTGGGACACCCATGTCCCTCAACTTGCCGGTCGAGGTGCACAATCGACGAATGGAGAAAGTGCCTCTTCTCAGACCTCAGCAGTAGTCGTGCGGGATGGATTCGACGGGAAAACGGGCAGACTGAACTACAGTAGTCCCCTGGGGCTACTCTGTCGATGCCTCTTTGTATTTCCCGCTGACCCCATATCCCATTAAGGCCGAGCGGGGCAGCAGCGAGCACAGCAGCACACAAGCACTTGCACGATTCTACGGCGGGGAGCGAATTAAATAATCTTGCAGAAACGGAGTGGGCGAGTAACATCCTGGGAAACCGGGGGGAACGAGGGGAGTGGGGGGATTTAATTGACCTGGAGTCAAGGCGATGTTCTAGACTTGATCTTTTGCTGCGATCGTCGATACAGTTAGTCCCCCCCTTCTTGCACCTCGCGACACGACGATTCGCCGTCCCATGTCGCAGAGTCCCAGCCTTCAGCAAGCGGCGCGAAACCTAGGATCAGCAGGCAACACCAACTACACCACCCACCACAACAAAAACAGAAAGCAAGCACCCACGAACCTCGGGGCGAGACGTCCTCGCCGCCTCGCTGGGGGCCCAGTCTTAGCACGCGCCGGAGCATCGCGAGGTCCGGGAGGATCTGCTCGTAGAGCCACTTCTGCTGGCGGTTGTACATGAAGGCTACCAGGCGAAAGCACGAGATCACCAAGTGCGCGCCCCCTAACACCGTGCCCGCCCTGTGTGTATTCGGCAAATATTGAGGCGTGTGTCACGTACCATACATGGGCGGGGAGCAGCACGTTTCGATACATATCACATCGAGGCCATTGTACGGAGACCAATCGCGGGGGGAAGGCGGGAGGAACACACAGACGGATGGGTCGGCACGAAAGTGGTAGGAGCGTTGGAGAGAGGGTATCGAAGGAGCGCTTCCGGTTGCTGAGCACAATACGCCCGGTGTGGAAACGACAAGAGCGAACAAGACCGTCGGATTGCCGGCTGTGGTGGAAATAGAACATCGAGAAAACACAAAAAGTTAGGCAAACAATGAAAGGAAGCGTGCCAAAAGGGTGAAAGGCATCTATCTGTACCCCTGGAGTGGGAGCGCTCCCCAAAGAGTGGGCGCAGTGGTCGATCGACATGTTGCAGGCAATCCACACAGAGTGAGGCCCCGCTCGCCCCCTTTTTGGAGGATGGGGAAAGGAAAACAATGAAAACAATGTGGTGTATGCGTGGTCAACCAATCACCACAGGACAAATACGAACGTCCGAAAACATTCTCAATGCGGTCGGAGGGTCACGTCCACAGTGTCCACAGTGGACGATAATGAGGAGAGCGAGCCAGAAGCCAGAGGCGATAGGCATGCAGGCACACCTGCTGCCACGCGAGAAGGCAAGTCTTCCCGCAAGAAAAGAAAAGGCAAGCGCGGCAGTATTTATCGTAGAACGAATATATATATATATATACCGGAATATCATAAGCGGCCTCCCTCCTGTGTGACCCCGCCTGATGCGTCCAGTACGATGCCGAACGGAGTAAAGTGAAGTCCAGAAGCGATGGGAAGCTAAAACCCATCTACACACACGAAATTGTGGGCCGGATGGCGTGCTCTGTCGTGCCAGCGATCCCATAACCTCGCTCGAATTGCTGGCACGGCCGCATGGAATGGGCTAAAGTACATCTTGGTGACGTGCAGGAATACCACGCCTACGAGGCAAAATGATCATGACTTTACCGCGTTTACAATTCAATCTTTCTCTTTCTCTCTCTAGCGTGTTGTGGTTTCCCTGATCCCCTAGAATAGGCACGAGCGTAATGACATTCTAGTACCGATGTTGCAGGGGTGACACATTGTAGGAGATGCGTGGTTAAGTTGCTTCGCCTCTAATTCATATTAAACTGTCTCTCTCCCTCAACGTGTGTGTCTGTTTCCCTCTGTGCGTCTATCTCTCTCCCTCTGTCTCGAGCCCTAACTTACAAGTAGACGCGATCCCCTTCCTTCTCGCTCTCCCCCGAGGCGGCGATGTCGGAGAGATTGATCGCCAGCGCCAGCAGGAACGTCAGGGCGCTCCACATCTCCTCTTTCCCCGTCACGACGTGCAGCGAGGAGGCTTGGAGCCTGATCGGCGTAATTGCGGGGGCGTTGGTGGGGTTGGCTGATGGAAACATGAAATATACGAAAACCAGAAGCTCACACGAGAGGGGCGGGAGAGATGAAACAGGCAGAGAAAAAGGGTAGGACGTGCAAGCATGGAACCGAGAAACCAGAGGCCAACAAGACAAATGGGAGACATGGTGGCGTATGCACGTGTTTGAGACACATGTTACGTGTTGAACATGTTGAGAGCTTCACATACACCAGCACACGCACAGACACAACTTTTTCGGGGAATACTTGTTCTCCTCATGACCTGCTGTAATGCTGTAACCTACAACACGTACAAAATCAGCAGCCTCACGTGTGCAGGTAGGCCATCTGGCTCAGCATACCCTCTCCCTGCTGGTAAAACTTGAGGAGTTTCCAGCCCGGAGATGACGTCGCGCGAGCGCAGCGCTTCTTCATTAGCTCCCTGAACGAAGCATCGGATGCGATCGAAGGAGATGGCAATTGTTGCAACAGCGCAAAAAAACACCAAGCAAGAGACCCATAGGGAGGGAAGGGGAAAGAAGGGGCGTCGAGAAAAGGTGGGGTAGACGGGTTGGGGGACGCGAGACGGCGGGAGGGGTGGGTGGGTGGGGGCGTACTCATTTGTTGCTTGCCGTAGTCATTTGACCATTGACCACGCGTCCCTTTCGAGACGGAGCACCGTTCCTACCCCTACTAGAGACACCACCAAAATTTGGGAGCTCTTTACGTTTCTGCCACAAACTACATAAAATTTCTTGCACATCTTATCCCCGTCCTCTACGGTCTCTTGTGCCCACCATCTATCCCCAATTACCGCGATCGTTTTTTCGCTGTTGTCTAATTTACCAAACTTGTCCATGTCACACCCTCTCTGTCTCATGTCCTCCTCGAGATCCTCTCGTTCCTTCCTGTACAACTCACACTCCCCAACTATGTGGGGTCTACTCTCCTCCGATTTGCCACATGGACATGTCTGTCTATCCTCCTCTTCCTCTCTCCTACGGCTGCTGTACCTCTTCCTCCGTTCTGGCAAGTCCAGGTCGCCTACTCGAAATTGCAACTTCAGTTTTTTTGCGTAGTCCATGGAGCCGTCCAAGTAACTCTTCATCCCTATCCCTTCTTTCAACTTCCCGTATGTCTCCAAGTGGTCTTCGCTTCGTACCTTCTTCGGAAGGGTTGCCTCCTCCCTACT